TTCAGAGGGTTAGTAATGAGATTATTTAGAGGTCAAGATCATAAATTAAAAATAACTTCAGACTAGACTTGACAAATGAAATGAACCCCAGATTTGAAAGCATTCTTGGAGATAGCTTCACTTGCCAATGGGGAAAGTGAAGCTGAGCAGATAAATGACTTGCCAATGGTACAGTAGCTAGTTGGTATTAGAGGCAAACTGTAAGTACAGTTTAGATTCACACCTCTAGTCCTCTGTGTTGAGTGGTTGGTATGGTGGACAAACAGTAATAAGAAAAAAGTCAATTGATTTTAAGAGTCTATGGTTGACAAGGAATTGAAGTAGGAATAAATAATTTTCTCTTAAAGATGCACAGAATAATATTAGCTTCCAACATTTTCCATTTATCAGATGATTCTTTCTGAGAATAAATTTGGAAATCATATATTTGTGATACTTGCACACAGTTTAATTAAAAACATCAACTTTCAATTTGAAGAAAGTGTTGTCACTGCTAAATTGCAGCTATTAACATCCACTTAGTGTGACTTATGAAAAAAGTAACAGACTTAATTGCTATCAGATGGGCTAAAAAGGGGAAAGTGAGAAGAACAAATAGTACTATTATGAGAAGACAAGGGGAGAGGAGAGAAAAGGAGAGGAGAGGGGATGGGGAGGGGAGGAGAAGGTTAGAGGGGAGGGGAGGGGAAGAGAAGGGAAGGGAGGAGAGGACAGGAAAGGAAAGGAGAGGAAAGGAGTAAAGATTCAGGCTTTCCAGTTCATTTGAGAAGAAGTGAAAGTGCTGAATATCATTATTCTAGCTTTGAGTGTTAAAATGAAGATTATCGTGGCTCAATATGCCTTCATATTATCCTATGCCTTTCTTCTTCCTGAGGTAACAAAGGTTTATTATTTATTGTGGTTTTGTCAGGGAATAATTGACATATGATAAATTGCACATACTTAGTGTACATAACTCAGTAAGTTTGGATATATATATATATTATTATATATAATAAAACCATTATCTCAAACATTTTCTTCTGTTCTTTTGCCAACCTTTCTTCCAGTCTTTCTCTGCTTCACTACAACTTGGTCCAGGAAACCACTAATGGCCAGCTTTTGACTATTATAGATTTCTAGGATATTATATAAATTAAATCAGACACTACACATTCCTTTTTGTCTTGCTTCTTTCTCTCAGAGTACTTAGGCTCATCCTCTTGTCTTTGTGTCTTTGTGTAGGTGTTTGCTTCATTTATTTTGGTGGAAATACCTAGGAGTGAAATGCTCGGATCATATGGTAGTAATTTTTAAAGAAACCCATCAAATTGTTTTTCAAGGTGATTTGCTTTATGTTACATTTCTACCAGTATATGAGAGTCCTACCACCTGCTCTACATTCTTGGCAATATAGGTATGGTTAGTATATTAAATTTTAGGCATTGTAATCAGTGTATAGTGATATTTCATGGTAGGTTTAATTTGTATTTGCCTAGTGACTAATGTTATGAAACATCTTAACCTTATTTTCCATCCATATATTTCCTGTGGTGACATGTTTATCAAACTCCTTTGCCCATTAAAAACACATTACTTATTTTCCTGTTTGAGTTTTCAAAGTTCTTTATACATGTTCTTTATCAGATATATGAGTTGCAAATATGTTCTCACAGTCTATGGTATAAGTTTTCATTCTCTGAACATTGTCTTTTGAAAAGCAGAATTATTTAGAGAGAAATATTTAATTTTGATAAGTACAAGTAATCAATTTTTATTCTTTTTATGGGTTGTACTTTTGGTTTGTGTCTAACAAATCTTTGCTTAGCACAAGGTCAAAAAGATGTTCTATTTTCTCTTGATTTATAACATTTTATGTCAAGTAGCTCTATGATCCATTTTGAGCCTTTTTCCCAGTATATTAGATATGGGTCAAAGCCCAGTTTTTTTTTTTTATTACAAATGTTCAACTGTTCTAGAAAAATTGGGAGGTGGTAGTTATTTCTTTTCTACTGAAATGTATTTGCACTTTTGTCTGAAATTAGTTGTATATTTATGTGTGGGATTATTTCTAAACTACTCTGTTTTGGTTCATTTTTCTATTTTTACACCAGTATCACACTGTTTTTGTTACCATTACATTGTAATAATGCTTGAAATAAGGTAATGTTTACCTTGCAACTTTTTTCTTTATAAAAGATTTTTTGGCTATTCTAAGGTTCTTCCTTAGCATTTCCATATTAATTTAAGATTGAGTCTGACAATTTCTATAAAAAATCTGTTGGAATTTTGATCTTGAGGATAGCATCGATGTTTAGACCACTTTAGGTAGAGTTTCCATCTCTACAATATTGAGTCCTCTCACCCATTAACACAATATAGCTCTTCATTTGTTTAGATATCTAATTTCTGTCAGTTTTTTAAAGTTTTCAGCTTTCATGTATTCCATTAAATGTAATCCTAAGTTTTTCATATTGAATACTACTATAAATGGATTTGCTTCCCAAATTCAATTGCTGATCATTTGATTTTATTTCAATTTATAGAAAGAGTGAATTTCTTTTTTTCTTATTTTTTATTATCATATTATCATTGTACTGGGGGTACATTATGGTATTTATAAAAGTGCTTACAATGTATCTTAAATTCACCATCTCCATCATTCTCGTTAATCTTCTCTTCCCCATTCTTAGAATAGTTTCAACCTGAATTGGTTCATCACCCTCCATTTTTCTCCTGTCTATTTTAGTCCCCTTCTTGTGGTGATTTCAACAAGTTTAAAATTCTATATTCATTCTGTCTAGCTTGTCAACCTTATTTACCTTCTTTACTTCCTTGTTTTAGAATGAATTTCTATATTGATCTTATACCTTGCAAAAATAATTTTTTGGCAGTACTGAGATTTGAACTCAGGGCTTCGTACTTGTGAGGCAGGCACTATTACACTGAAATCACACCTCTAGCCCTTTTAGTTCTAGTTAGTTTGGAGATACAATCTTGCTTTTTTTGCCCAGGCTGGCCTGGACCACTGTTCACCTATTTCAAGCATCCTGCAGTCACTGAAATGGCAAATGTGTACTACTGTACCCAGTGGTGAAATGGGGTTCACAAACCTTTTTCTCCTGGGCTGACCTTAAATTGAGATCCTTTCTGATCTCAGCCTTCCAAGTAGCTAGGATTACAGGCTTGAGTACCCAGCTCAAAAAAAAAATATTAGTTTTAGTAGTTTCTTTTGCAGTTTCTTTTTCATTAGAGTTTATAAATATAGGGTCACATTACCTGCAAATAAAGAGAATTTTATGTCATCTGTTCCAATATGAATTTTTAACTTATTTTTCTTTCCTGATTGCATTGGATAGCATTTCTAGTACAATGTTGAATTGAAGTGGTGAGAGTGGATATCCTTGTATTGTTCCTGATCTTAGGGAGTAAGCATTTATTCATTCAAAGTTAATCATGCTATCTGCTGTAGGTTGAGGAAATTGTTTCTGTTCTTGATTTGCAGAGTTCTAAGTCATAAATAGATGTATATGTGTCCTCCCACAGAGAGAGAATCACTAGATTTTAGGCAGGTGTGAAAAAAAATGGATATTATAGACTCCAGAAAGGTTAAGGGTTTCTAGAGTGGTAATTTTAAGTCTTGATTGTCTGTAATCGTCACCTTGAGAATTTAAGATTTACATGAAAAGAATCAGAATACATGAATAGGGATATCTATATCTTTTTAAAGTTCCCTAGGTTATTCTGATACTTAAGAAGTGTGTTAAACCTCTGTGGTAGAGTGTCTGTGTGGTGGTGATGGTTTGGAGTGGGCGGGAAGGAGAAATCCCAGGTTGATTGACACTGTCTGTTCCGGACATGAGTATCATAGAATGGTGAAAAAAATCATGATTACTTAACATTTCAGGACTAGAATATAAATTGCCTGTGAAGGCAGTTGGATATTATTTTGAAGAGCTTCAACTGTTCTGATTTAAAAGCAATTTGATGTTTGTTTTCTTACAATTAAAGGCATTAAATGCATATTTCAAAAATGCATTTTATGGTAGCATATTTAAAGAATGATCTAAACGACCTTCTCCAGTACTTTACAGTAGAATTGTGAAATATTTTTTGAAACAGCTTTAATACAATTGCTGCCTACACATGGGTTCCAGAGAAGAAATTCATAACAACTTTTAGCAACATTGAAAACATACAGTACACAAAATCCATACAAGCATGTGTAAATAAATAAAATTCAGAAGGAGAAAGATGTGTGGATCAATTTCCTTAATGCTCCACGGTTTTGACTCAGTTCTAAAACAATGTAGATTAACACATCTTTCCAATGAAAAACAACTTTGTTGTCTTCCATCCTATCGTTTCTCCCTAACTTTGGTCACGTGGGCGTCTTGAAGACTTCATTGGCGAAACAGAAAGGAATATTCAAAATCCAGATCTTCAAACTTGCTGGAGGAGAAGCATGGAATTGGAGAAAGAATTTCAAACGTTTAATTTAGGGGGGCAGTGAAAGGAAGCGGGTGCGAATACCTATAAAAATATGTGTGGATGAACTCTTGGAGGAAGAAAGTGGGAGTAGAGGGGTTTTTTGGGGGGTGGGGAGGGCAATGGGCATTAGCAGGCCATCAGGACGGTTTCTAGGGTTTCTCTCCCCGTTCTTCCTGGATGGTCCCTACTCTATGCCCCTGATCCACTCCTGGCCTCAGCGCCGGGGGCGCATGCCGGGTGGGCGGGGCGGCCTCTCCAGCCGCGCCTCCCGGGCTCCGAAGTCGCAGAGCACGCACAGGGCGCTACCTTAGCGCCAGGCACCCTAGGAGGCTGCAGCAGCTGCGCCTCTTAGCGTCTTAGTACCGGCACGCCGTGGTACGCAACGCCGGACGGGAAGAGTTTAGATTTGTCGCGTGTGGGTGGAGGACAGTTGTACCAAGGCGGGTGCTCCATTCCACCCACCTCCCAGCAGGATCTGCCTTGGACCGCGCACTTCCCGGTTCCTACTCCACGCCACAAACTTCTTGGGAATGGAGCAGTCACAATGTGGCAGCAGACACCGCAGCGCCAACGGTAGCAGCCGACCCCACACGGTCCCGGGGCTGATGGTGGCGGCCCCACCGCCCGCTTCGCCGGGGTTGCCGGTACCCTCGGGGATGTCTGGTCCCCCCGCTTTCTTGCGGCCGCCCAGCTTCTTCCTGCGAGCGGCCGCGGGGAGCGCAGGCTGCCCGCCGGCCCCCGGGCTGGAGAGGGCAGTGAGCGCGGTGGGCTGCGGCTACCCGCGGACGCCTAAGTGTGCTCGCTGTCGCAACCATGGCGTGGTGTCCGCGCTCAAGGGCCACAAGCGCTTCTGCCGCTGGCGGGACTGCGCGTGTGCCAAGTGCACCCTGATCGCCGAGCGCCAGCGCGTCATGGCCGCTCAGGTGGCGCTGCGGCGGCAGCAGGCGCAGGAGGAGAGCGAGGCTCGCGGGCTGCAGAGGCTCCTGTACCCCGAACCCTCGGGCTCCGGGGGTCCCGCGCCCGGAGGAGGCGGCAGAGCCGAGAACCCCCATGCCGCGGCGGCTGCCCTGGGACTGGGGAACTTGAGACAGGCCTGTGGGCTGGCGACCCCCGCTTTCGAGGGTTTCCAGCAAGATTATGCAGAGGACAAACAGGGTGAGTTGGTCTCTGGTTTGCGTTTTGTACAAAAAAAAGGTTGTTCTGGAGGAAAACTCTTTGAACAAGCAGCAGCGACCTAGAGGCCGGCAAAAATAAATACATAAATAAATAAATAAGTGGGTAAATTATGGGAAACTGCTTTGTAATACCGACATGAAGGAGGGCAGTGGTGGAGACCCACCATTTCTCTCCATTTTTTTTCTCTCTCCCTCCCTCCTTCCCTCCTTCAGTCCCTCTCCTTTCCTCCTCCCCCTTTCTCAGTAGTGAAAATGATGTTAAAGTTTATTAGTAAAGGGATATACTTTCAATAGATTGAAAGTCATCATCAAGAGAGGAGAGAGAGAGAGAGAGAGAGAGAGAGAGAGAGAGAGAGAATATAAGGACGATCAAGATGATCAAGCATCTTCTTTTTGGTAGGACTTTCTGCTTGTTCTCATAGGTGACAGGAAAAGATAAGGAGACGGAGTGCCCTGGGTGACCATCAAGAAACAATTCACCCGACTGCGCAAGAGATTTAACCTTGTGTAACTTCAAGCGGGACTTCAGCGAAAAGCTTAGTGAGGGGCCCTGTGGTTGGCAAACTCTGTATTTTCTGGCCTTGTATAGAGAAACTCGCTGACTGTAGGGAATGGAGTTCTTTGCTTCTGGGACAAATCTTTGGCTTGGCGCCAGCTTGAACTAGCAGAGTATGAAATCTACCAAACCACCTTTTTTTCTCCTTTTCTTTTTAATGCCTTAAGTCTTCACTCCCAATTGTTAGTTTCCAAAAGTGTGGAATGCTCAGGTATTTTTAGTTTTAGTTATTCCTACAGGAACTAAATTTAGGTTTTCTAGATTTGTGAAACCAATGATAAGAATTTCAAAGTTTAATATTGGAGATTTCTTATCCAAGGAGTTTTAACTTTCTTCTGTCATTTATTCACTGTAAAGTAATTGCCAATATCTCCTGTCTTTTACTAAGACTGCTCCAAATTAACTTCTTGTTAATGAAATGCCACTGTATTTTACTGAATTTCATAGTTCTTCACAGGGCCAACCAACACTGAAAATTTCATTTCATTTTATTTTTTAAAAGTCCCAAATGGGTTGTTTCATATAAAGTTATATGATAAGGACACAGTAAATTATTAATTGGAAACCTTCTTTAAATTGTGAAGATTGCAGACCTTAACAGATTACATACAGCAGGTACTTCAGAAAAAGGTCATTTCTGTATTGAAATGAGACATGTATCATTTTCTGTTCACTTATGTCAACTTTTTTGGACACATTTTAGTTTATTTCAGTAGACAAATTGGACTTTAAACATTTCTCTTGAAAGATCAAAGAAGACTGGTGAGAAAAGTCACTAATAAAATTGCTATACGAGAAGTAAATAGAATTCCTTAAAGTGACAATGGGATCTGGCTGATGTCAGTGATGTATATGATTTTTTTGGGGGGGTCCAAATGTTTTGTTTTATAGGGATAATTACTTTATTTTTTGCTTCAGATTCCCCCCCACCGCCTCACTCCCCATAAAAAGCAAGCCAAATTTTGAAAGCTTACTTCAATGGGTTTCTAACAATTTAGAACACAATATGCATGAACATGTTATGTACTAAGATATGTAGAATATGTAGTAAGATATTCTATTTAATTTACACTCACTAGACAAAAACCAAAAATGATTCAGAGGTGAATAAGATTTTCCTATCCAAACAAAACAAAACAAAAATTTTATGCTGGGCACCAGTGGCTCACGCCTGTAATTCTAGCTACTCAGGAGGCAGATATTAGGAGGATCGCAGTTCAAAGGCAGCCCAGGCAAATAGTTCTGTGAGACCCTGTCTGGAAAAAAAAGCCTTCATAAAAAAAGGGCTGGTAGAGTGGCTCAAGGTGTAGGCCCTGAGTTCAAGCCCCAGTATCAAAAAAAAAAAAGAAAAAAAAAATCCAAAAAACCAAAGAAAACTTTATGTTGAAAAGAAGGAAGACTATGTATATAAAAGAACAATGAAAGGCATAATATATAATGATAAATGTATTAATGAAGTAAAACAAGGTATAGAAGGTGAGGGGACCGAAAGATGAAGTAAATGGTATTACTGTATTTTAAAGTCACCTTATTTTCTAAGTAGTCTTATGCAATAAGTATTTCCTTACATATATTTACACTATGAATGCAATGTAATAATGGGACATTATTTTTATGGATAAATTGTGGTGGAAGTGAAGTTTTGATATGCATAGCATACTTAATGAATCATATTTGTGAGTAAAATGAAATGGAAGACCAACTGGATTTGAAAATTTATTGTATCATTTAAAGTTAAAACTACTAGAATCTTCCTAATTTTGCAGTAGTAACATCTTTTATAATAAATTTGGTACAGTGTCAACATTTTGACCCTCAGAGTTCTAAATTGTATGTACTATACTTTAACTTGTAAATAAATCTGACACTTCTTTAGAATTTAGGACTGCCTTTCAGGAAAATTGGGGAAAAAACAGGAGACTGTTGTGAATCATGGCTGTAAATCACTGAGTTAGGTAATATTTGTTACATTTGTAAACCTTGTAGAAAAAGAAAGTTGTACAGAAGTACTATGGGATACTGCACTGGACAGTTTACTTTTAGGTAAGAGGAAATGCAAACCAAAACAGAACTTATTTAGTAGATGTGTACATTGTTATTATTTTCTTGGTATTAGCTTGGCAAAAGACTATTGAAGTATTCTTATTGGTTTCATGTGTTCAACATGTTAAGGTAGAAAAATCAGATTTTCTGTAAAAATATTTTGGAAATGTTAAAAATATTTTTAATATTTCATATTAGAGAGAGGATAGTGATTGAAGCAAATTAATGTTGTTTTTACAAGACACTTGGAGGCTCCAAAGGGATCACAAAAGGGCAATTTATAATTTTCTTTTAAAAACAATTTGATTTAAAACTCTTTTCTTCATATTTCCTAGGGATTGAACATGAAAATTGATGTTTACAAAGGAGTAGGAAAAATACCAAGTCTTTATTATTGCTCACATAAAATCAAATAGGCAAGTCTAGTGTGAGTTGAATTGATACAGGAGTCATCGCTGCTTTAAATTTGAAGTGAAATTAACAATTCTGTTCTCTGCCCACTTTATTAAGGTAACTTACTTGAAATCTGAAATGCAAGCACAAAAATTAGTTATTGAAATTTAAGATTAGTGTTTACATAGAATATTTACTTTCAAATTAAGATTATTCATTTTACCTTGAATTCTTATCTAAGCCTAACTATTTTACTTATTTATTTTGACAGAGTACCATTGTGGGGGAAAAAAAGGACCCTCACTTAGATAACAACAAAACTTGAGTAATGTGTAAGAAAATCCCAAATCACCAAGATGTGGCAAACAATGTGTGATATTGATTATGATTCTCTTCTTCTGATTCCTAAATACTACTGCATTTACATGTTGTATGTATAGATTCTGAATGATCTTTAAATTTGAGTTGTTCATTAGAATGTTTTAATGTGAATACATATTACTAATATATTAGAAGTGAATTGTTTTATCTAGCACTAGGTTCTGGCAAGTTGCCCCTAAATTTGTTTCTTTTTTATTTTTCTCTTGTGCAGAACAAAAAGAGAGTAAATGTGTCTCATACCAGAGTGGACAAGAAGAGTCAGTCCCTAAACAACCTTCTCTGAGATCATCTCCTAAGTCTAATGGTGTCGTTGAGAAACAAAGCAGCAGGTCATCTGTTTCAGAAACTTCAAACACACTTGATAGCATCCCATCTCCTTACCCTGGGGAGCAATCAGCAGGTGAAGACAGTCCCAGGTCCTTATCATCCTCTGATCTAGAATCAGGAAATGAAAGTGAGTGGACCAGAGATGGTATTACTACCAGAACCAGCCTTCCCACAGTGTCCTCAACACCAAGAGACCCTCTTGGTATTCTTACCAAAATTTTCCCAAGTTACAAACGCAGCCGGCTAGAAGGCATTCTACAGTTCTGCAAAGGGGATGTTGTCCAAGCCATCGAGCAGGTCTTAAATGGGAAAGAACACAAGCCAGACTCCAGAGATGTAGTAAACTCCAGAGAGTTGGAAAATACATCCTTTCAGAGAGCTTCGAGTTTTAATCTAGCTGGAATTGCTTTTGGAACTTTAGGTAATAAATCAGCGTTCTCTCCTCTTCAAACCACGTCTGCTCCATACCGAGGTGATTCAGGTCTCTACAGCTTAAATCCTACACTAGCTTTTAGTTCATTACGTCTGGCATATTCTTCTCCGGGAAGAGGGCTATCTGGTTTTATGTCTCCCTACCTAACACCTGGGTTGGTTCCAGCATTGCCTTTTCGGCCATCTTTGGATTATGCCTTTTCAGGGATGATTAGGGATTCTTCTTACTTTCCCAGTAAAAACTTAACTGGTGGTAGACTGTATTTCGGACCCAATCAGGACAGTCTTTAATGTGTCCACCCATTCTCTCATTTCAGAGTATTTCTAGAACTATGCAACACACACACACACACACACACATACACACACACATACATACATACGGTCGGTGGGGGGGAGAATAAATCTATATGAGGGATTATTAGGCCTTAAAATGCTATATTTTTACAAGCAATATAGTAGACTTTAGATTTGAAGACTCTTCATTAGCATTTAAGTGAAAGAAGTATCTGAGCATTATCTGTGCCTTTAATAAAGCTATTTCAAGAAATAGTTTTATTTTAATGAATGATTTCCTTAAATTATCATTTTTAACAGTTTCTATTTTAAAACCATATTGTTTTTATATTATTGAAAAGTTGATTTTATAGTTGTAAAATGTTTATGGTTGTAAAAAACAATCCCACATAATATAACAAAATTAACCAAAAGGCAGAATTTTAAAAATTGAATTAATTCTCATCCTAAAACGTTTTCTTCTTGTTCCTTTATTCACAAGAGAACAAAAAAAAGATATTCAATGTATTTTAAGAATATTTTATTTGAAGATTAGTAGTAATAAAACTGAGAAATTTGAATTCTTTACTTTGGGTATGTTTTATTTTTCACTCTTATTTGCCATTTATAAAGACAAATGCCAAAAAATTCTTAAAATTAACATTGTGAATTAAGCAAGGCCTATTAAGTAATTCTTAGGAAACAATACTGCGCCATCTTCTGGTAATTATCACTAATTGCAACTCAGTTCTGCAGAGTGAATTAGAAACACATGATTACTCACTTTTATAAGCTAATAATTTTTTTGGAATAACCATTTTGGATCATGCTGCATTAACATTTTCTTATTGTTAAGTGAATTTCTACTCTGGATGATGAGTTTAATCTTTGGGTGTGTTTATGCTTGTTTCTGGGGAAATATCTCTTTCCGTTTGAGATAAGAGTACAGCACCTGAATATTCTCAAAGGTAAAAATAATCTTATTCAGAAAACTGAATGAGTTGCTCAGACAAATATAGATCGATTCTATAGAAATTATGTTTAATGGATTGAAAAGAAATAAAGATTTCCAAAGGAGTGAATTACCATTAAATTTTTGAGGTTTTAAAAATACATTTTTTCTCCATCTGGAGCATTTGGAAGCCTTTCTCAGCTATTCGTCTGTTTAGGTCAGTGGGAAGTCCTGGAAGAAGCTGCCTACAGTATCATTTTATGAAGTTTTCCTCATATGTCGTCATTTTTTGAAGGACAGTAGCTTCATTGTTATTGTTAGGGATAAATGAAAACTCAGTTGTATATGAATTAGAGATATTTTATAAACAATTTGAGAAACGATTCACTAAAACTTTCTTGAATAGCATGTATGTAATGTATGTGCGTCTTTTCCATGAAGGCAGTCAGAATATATTTCTATAGCATATTATACCAGAAGATGTCTTATTAAGTTACTAAAGAGTATCTGGTGCTGTTTAGGATGCAAATATGTTTAATGATTATACATTAATTTTAAAGGTGTAAATGTGAGAACAAAGATTCTAAATTTTTTTGATGCACTCAATACTCACACATTGTAAAAACCTTTTACATTCTGAGCCTAAACTACAGAACAATGCCTGGAAAGTAGTTGATATTCAGCTAGCATATACGAGGTTGAAGAAATGGTTTTGCATGGTAGGTCTTTCTGAGAACCAAAGAGCTCTACAAAGTGGTCTGCAGACACACAGGTTTTTGTACAATTTCATGGGATTCTTGCATCTCCTAAATGCTACTCAGGTTAGAATCCTTGGTGATTCTTAAATTATTTCTATTGCATGAATCCATTTAATGAATACTGTTTTTTGAAATGCACTAGATCTATAGAGGATGTCACATGTAAAATATTGTTCTCTACAGAAAGTTGTGCTGTAGAGATTTGTATTAAAAGTACAATAATTCTAGTTGCTAGATTCTTTATGTAGTTTACATAATGGTGTGAATGCATCCATTAGAGAAACTGACTTGCTTTTGATCTGAGAAGAACAGCCATTTGGGTCAACATTAAAAATATATGAATAATTTTATTATCTTAAATTATAAAATTAGTTACATAATTAAGTTAATTTACACAATGCATTATGTATTCTATATTCTTTATAATACATTTGGAACCTAATCTTATGGGATAGGTTATTTGTCCACCTGCTAAATTGAATGTGAGGAAATGGAGGCTCACCAGTAGTGTTGTCAGCCCCAAGGTCAATAGTATGAGTCATCAGAAGGGGAGTTTCTTATCTCAGTAATTCAGACTACTAGGTGGAAGGATTCCTGTCTGTTTTGCATGGTGTCTAATATATAATTGGTGGTAAATAATAGCTTTTTTTCATAGACTGAAATAAATTAATGGTAAAAGGAAATATTAGATTAGCAATTAATTCAACAGCTATTTTTAAGCACTGTTTTGTGCTATGCAAGGGATAGGGATGACTAAGACACAAAACCTAGACTCATGTTGCTTACAGTCTATAGTGCTATGTATACAAAAATGACCTCCCAACCAAAGATGGAACCATTTGACAGTGTTGCAATATGAGTGGGTTCTTCATAATCTTGACATATACCCATGGATGCTATTGAGGCCTGAACTTCTAAGCCACTAATTAGGAGTAAGAAGAAAGAAGAGTAAACATTGTAAGAGCTAGCATGTGACCAAAATGAATTGAGATTATTCCATACAATGTGGAGAACATATAAGGTAAAAATTTCATGGAGAATTCAGAATGAAAGGAATGGCTTTTTCATAGATAATAATCATCCAACAGTGGTATGGTTGCCTTGTACAATCCTCTTCCCATTGAAAATACCATGTAGAAATTACCAGAGCCCTGACTGATGGTATTTTTCATTACTGCTTCAGTACTGAGACTAAATCATTTGTAAGCTAATCAGAAACACGGTAAATATCTGTTAAATAAATAAATATAAGTTCCAACTCAAAGACCATAAATATGAAAATATCCAGCCACCACTTGTCAATAAAACAGAGTGCAGTTTTGCTTATCAGAACTGTTTTGAATGTGATAGCCTCCTGGGAGGAGCTAAAGAAGGAAGAAATGGAACACAGTGCACGATTTACAACGGATTTAGACTGGCAGAGGTTAGCATAGGTATTCAGGTATTAGGAAGAAGAGGGCTCAAAGAGGACATGGAAGAGCACCAAAATAAAACAAACTTTGATGAAATTTCTATGAAGTTCACACCATTACAATGTTCCTAGAAAGGACAGTTAGTTTGGAATTGAGACCTAGGATGGATTTATTGGGGGGGGGGGAGGGTACAACTTGGATAGGTTACTTACCCTCTCTGGACATTTGTTTCTTTTCAGCAAAACAAGGATAATATTATTTAATCTGTAAGATTCATGGAAATAAAAGGTAGTTTGAATAAACTGCAGAGAACAGAAATGCTTATATACTAAATAAATAACTCTCACTGTTGTTGTTTTGTATTAAGATATTATCTCTGCCCCCCTGGTGACAGTCTCTCAACAAGAACATTGTAATTGTATTTAATCCACTTAGTGAGTGTGGAACCCAAAGGGCAGCTATTACTAGGGGAGCATCCAGGCTTAGTTCCACACTTCCTGTTTGTTTTCTTATTTCATAGGTGAGCTGCACTTTAATAACATACTATTATATCTGTTTCAGATTCTCTTAAGGGCTTTGTGAAGAAAATGAACAGCAAAACCACAGTTTTGGGTTCATGCTACCTTTATCAGTAAGGATTTAGTCAGGAAAACAGAGTCCCTTTAAGAATTTGTGCAACTAGGGAGTTAATAGAAATTTGAACAACCAGAGAGGAGGAGCTTGGATTTGACAGTCTGGCAGAGAGAAACTGGCAGATGCAAGAGTCACTAATTTTCCTAAAGCACTGTGGGCAAGTGAGATCGTTCAAGTAATTATGAAACTCAGCATGTCCTGTTACTCACCTGCTTTCCCAGGTAGGGGTGGTAAGCAGTCTCAAAGGTGCTAGAGCCTCCACATATGTACGAACTCCGTGAGTCTGGAGCAGGTGTCTGGCATAGGGTAAACGAAGTCAGTATGAAAAGTTGAATGGTAGTAAGGAAAAGACAGGACAGTCTAGAAATTGGGTGATTGTCTTATGGAACTGTTTATTCTTAGGGAAATAATACCTATAAGCCAAAAAAAAAAAAAGCAAAAAGTTGTAGGGAAAGGAAACAAAAGTATTACTAGTGAATAATGATTACTATGTAAGATGCCATTCCCACATCTATTCTGTGCTTCCAGTACTAGTGAATCTTGAGCATAGGAAAAATATCACTACATGTTTACAAGTAACCCAGAACATATCTTATACCCAAGAAGATATGAATCCAGCCCTATAAAGTGCTTTCACCAGTTGATGCCATAACTGAGCCTTCCATAGGCTATTGCATAATTTTACTAGACCAGCTGTTTCAGGATGAGGGGAACATAATACCAGTGAGTTCCCCAGGCATGAGCCCAATGTTTGACTTTACTTGTTATAAAATGAGTTTCTTTGCCAGAAGTAATGTTGTAGAGAATACCATGAAGGTGATAAGACATTCTGTAAACCCACAGATGGTGGTTTTAGCAGAAACACTAAAGGTAGAAAAGGCAAAACTACAACAGGCAAGACAAGTTTTATTTTAACTTATTTTTATGTTTTCTTTTCCCAGTGAGAACAAAGAGCTGCTCCTACAATGATGGAAGTGATCCAATGTAATCAACCTGTTGCCAAGTGGCTGGCTAATTTCCTCAGGGAATAGTGCCATTTCAGGACCTCTGTTTGGTCTTTGCTCTTGGCCAACTTGGGTCTAGCCAAACTGGCCTTGTAAAATGGAAATCCATGTTGCTAAGCTCATGCATAAGCTCCATCTCTGCTTCCATGATCATTATCTTCATGAGCCAATTGGACAATTAAGAATATAAGGAATAGGTCACCCTGTGCATATGATTACTGAGAAATTCCTCTTCAGAGTTTGCTTTTCAGTGAGT